TAGGCCCCGCTACCCGCTCAGCTTCCGCTTCCGGCTCCGGCCTCCTCCTGCCGCAGCTCCGCCCACTGGCCTGGCGCAGGCGCCGTCAGCTCCGGCTAGACCCAACCTCGTTGCCGGGCCGCTCTAGCCCGCGATTTAGGAACTCTGGAGGACTGGTTGGTTTCCTCTGCCTGGTCAGCGCTGGAGCGGCAGAGGCTTCTTCCGGGAGCCCCGGGGACGTCCCAGGTCACGATCCGCCCCCTGACGTGTTCCGATGCCAGTGGCCGCCGAGATCGGCTGGGCGCACGTCCCCGACGGACTGGGAGCTTGGGGCGTGTCTCTGGAACCCCACGGGCCGCGGGGTTCGTCGCTCTGTGTCGCCGCTGTCCCAGCAACCCCGTACTGCTCGCGGAGAGCCCGGTCAGCGAGCACGGGAACGTGTGAGGCGCCACTTGCGCGGCCTCTCCTGGCGGGCTCGGGCTTCGAGATGTGGCTTCTGGGGAACCCTCGTCCCTGTCGCCCTGGGGCGCCACCGTCCGGCCGGTGCGAAATTCCGGACCCACCTCCAGCGACTTCTTAGGCCGAACGGTACCAGGAGCGCCCAGAGGCGGAGATGTCGGGGTGTTTGGAGGCGTCCCTTGGGCGCGTCCCCGCCTAGGCCCTCCGCGGGACGCGCGACTAATTGCCCCACGCCACGCGGGATCCCTTCCAGACCCTGCCCTCAGCTTGGCTCTGGGAACCCCGACTCTGCTCCGCGGGGTGCCGCCACCGAGGTCTGGGCCAGGGCTAGGCACTTAAAGCCCCTGGCCCCTGACATTCCCTGCTTCCCGAGGCCCAGGTCTGATGGCGTGGCCTAGGGGGTAAGTGCTCAGTGGCTCCGATCTCCATCAGCTGCATCGTCGCATCGGCCCAACAACTTGGACAACAGAGGCCGTCAAAGGCACTCTCAAGCAGATCCCTGGTCCTTTTCCAAGCAAACACACCTGACCCAGTAAAGACATTCGGGAGCCGCCACCGGTGCAGTAGTTGGTGACCCGAGCCTGCTGGGCCTGCTGCTAAATCCTGCCTTCTTCAGGGCCTGTCTTAAGAGCCAGAATTTTTTTTTTCCCTCATTGAGTTTATTGGTACATTTTAGGTATACGGTACAGTTAAATTCATATTGGGATCTTGTACCTTTACATGACAGGTCTTGGTTCTCATTTTTTCCCCTTGTCCCTGCCAGAAATTTTTGAAGTTCAGGAGACTTGAGATGTTGCTCTGCTTGGGGTCCAGGGCTGAGGCCCCTCTGGCAGGATTTGTTATGCCCCTACAGGTAGGAGGCCTTTGGTATCTCCTCTGACCGCCACACAGGGTTGCACAGGAAACTGGGGTCACCCGCAGTTCAGGGAGAAGGTCCTCAGAGACTCCGGTTACAGCCTTACTCCTAGTTGCAGCGCTCTGATGCGGTTAGGCTTCCCACTGTGGTAGCCCAGCATTCCCTACTTTTTTCACTGAGGCAAAACTGGAGCACTTGCCCAGGGTCTCCTCTCCAAACCATGAAGCCTGGAGACCTTCTCGCTGGAGTCTACTATTAGACTTCATTCTTTTATCAGTCTGGGTAATCTTTCCCACTCCCTCCTCCCTACCTCATTCTTTGTTGTTGTTTTCTTTCTCATTCTTGCAGTGCTTCCTGGCTTCACAACCAAGCTTTTCCCAGTCCTCACCACTGTGCCCAAGTCCTCTCGGCTGAGGTCTGCCACATGGCTCAAGGGCACCAAGCAGATGTCCCGTGTTGCATCCACTCGAACCCCACAGCTCTCCTGACCCTCTTCCTCTCCCATTTGCCCCTTGGCTCTTGGGCCCTGCTGCTCTGGTCCCTTCCTAACCTTGCCACCTCAACATTCTTCTGTCTGCCATATCCTGCTTTGCCCTCTCTGGGGACAGGCAACTCACCTTGGAGTGTTGGCCCCAGAGTAGTCTCTGCAAGGCCTTCCTGGGCTCCCCAAAGGGAAGTTAGGCTCCCCTGTCTGTATTCTTGGTGATGTCCTCCTCTAGCTCCCCACAACTAGAATTCTGGCCTGTGCCACTCTTGCTGCTTCACTTCCTGACCCCACCCCACAGACCATGAGCCCCTACAGCCAAGCCAAGCTTCCCAGAGAGCTTCCCTATCAGAGACCCCCCAAGGAAGGTTCCAATCTCCTACTCAGTGCTAAGATGCAAGGTGAGAAGAAAAACAGTTAAAG